TGCCACTGGCTGCAACACAACCCCAAAGCATGATCCAACCCCATGCTTAACAGTTGGACAGAGGTTCTTTTCATTAAATTCTGTGCCCCTTCTTCTCCAAACGTACCTTTGCTCATTCCAGCCAAAAAGTTCAATTTTAACCTCATCGGTCCACAGAACTTGTTTCCAAAATGCATCAGGCTTGTCTATATGTTCATTTGCAAAGTTCAAACGATGATTTTTGTGGTGATTTTTGTGGTGAGGATGTAGAAGAGGTTTTCTTCTGATGACTCTTCCATGAAGACCATATTTGTACAAGTATCCCTTTATAGTAGAATAGTGTACCACAACTCCAGTGTCTGCCAGATCTTTCTGGAGGGATCGTGCAGTCAAACCTGGGTTTTGAATTGTTTTTCTCACAATCCTGCGAGCTGTTCTGTCTGATATTTTTCTTGGTCTTCCAGATCTTGCTTTAACTTTCACTGTTCCTGATGACTGCCATTTCTTAATTACATTCCGAACAGAGAATACTGACATCTGAAAACGCTTTGCTATCTTCTTATAGCCTTCTCCAGCTTTGTGAGCGTCAACTATTTTCAGTTTCAGTTTTCTAGACAACTGCTTAGAAGAACCCATGGTGCTGATTGTTGGGGCAAGGTCAGATGAGTCTGGGCATTTAAAACCTTTGAGATTGACATCACCTGGTCTTCCCAGACGATGATTGAGAACAATCCATGACACTGGCATGTCTCAGCTTTGCAAAGGGGGCAGTGCATGCTATAAATTCTGCAGGGTGCCCAAACTTTTGCAGACGCCATTTTTTTGTTTTCTGTTATTTTGAAAGTGTAAATGATGGAAATAAAATCTAACTTTTGTTGACATATTATAAGAATGTCTAATCTGTAATTTGATGCCTTTTGGAGATTTTTCCATCTTTCCTTGGCTTCTTTATGCACATTAATACAAATTTTTAGCTGGGGTGCCCAAACGTTCGATCCCCACTGTATATCTGTACGTCAGTATTGGGACATGTATATTCCATTATTGATTGCCACCTTGACCAATAACCTATTTTCCTTTTCCCATACAAGTGAATGGACTTTTTGTACTGACTTGCTCTGTTAGGGTAATTGCCGGGTTTTCTCTTTTTGTACTTTTCCTTTTCTTTTTATACACAGGATGTTCCTGCCAATTTGTTTGTTACTATTTATATAGGACCATGGGTAAATGGCTTTTTGCTCATTTGTAACTGTAGCTGATGTGTTTCAGACACTATTGTAGTGAATGTCCTATTTATCATGTGGTATATGGTTTTGTAATGCGTGTATACTACTACCCCTACACTTCTTCTGTAATGGTAATTTGATTGCTGACATGTATTTGTCTGTCTGACTTGCTCTTTACGCAATAAAAGCTAGTTAAGAAAAAAAAAAAAATGCTTCGCAACTGTGGGCCAACCATTTGTGATCCTAATTACCTTCAATGGGAGAGTTTGGCAAGATGTCCGAGTTAAATTGCTCCACCATAAAACATTGTGGCCTCGGCAACATGAGCAGACCCGAACAGCCTCTATATCACATTGTAGGTGGCAGTCTAGAGTACGTAACATCATGGACCAACTGCCTATTTTTAGCATCACCTCCCAATTTCTCCCTGTGTGAACTTAGCATTAGCATTGGAACAACCCAATGTGGGTTGAAATTTCCAAAATCCTTTCTGTTGCAGGCTTCCTAATATATAATACATTTAAGTTCATACAAGGAGAATGAGGTTCTGTCTTAATATTGCAATAGAAATGCATATTTACGAACAATTGTCTCCACTGGAAGAATTTCCTTCTATTCCTGTTCCAATTTAAGATTTTCTCTAACTTTCAATCCCAATGACAATGGTCAACAAGACAAGGAGGGTGATGGGGACACAGACAACAGTAAAAATCTGACAGAGGTTCCAAGTCTTCTCTACACTATCCTAAAGAGATCCACTTTTACTATACATCACCTACCAATATTAAAATCAACGAAACCCTTTAAATAGAAGTTTTTTCCAAGCATAACTGAAAACTTCTAAATAGGACATGTTTCTGTTCAGAGGCTTTGATTGTGAAGGGAAAACAATAGAACAGGTGTACACTTTGGTGGAGCTGCTAGCAAGGTCCAATTAGTCTCTAGTAGCAGGATCACTCCAGCTCTCATTAGGAGCACATGGTATGGGCAGAGCTCAGAAGTCCCTGTACTTGTAGACTTGTGTGCATTCTAGTACCCTTTACCACCATTCTGTCCCATGACAGAATAGCAGAGGATGTAATAGAAACTTTTGGACCTGCCCTTCATTTACAGATATGGGAAACTGTATTTTATTTTTTTTTGTTCACAGACCGAGTTGTATTTTTCCTAAGATTTGGCCAGGGTTACGTTAAGAGGTCAGTTTAGATGTAAATATATGGCTTAGTCTTGACCATAACCAAACAGCTGTATGTGTCTGCAGGGGTGTGTGGGGAGTCTTGACGCTCATATTCAAATAATTTATTTCCCATGTACACATAAACCTAAAATACCTATCTGAATAACTAAGCCTGTCTTTCTGCACTGTGTATGTATCTGATACATTTCGCCTGATTGAAAACAGTTCATGATAACATTATTTTTGCATTAGATCATCACTCGATGAAAGCACAGAAAACCTATGCAAGAAACATTTCTATTGTCATTTTAGGTCCGTCAGAGAATGTACAGGATCAGTACATTTCTTGGAAACTACATTTTCAAATAAATATAATCTTCAATCTTTTGGTTTGTATGCTCCACTTTTTTGCATTTTGATTACTATGCAAATTTTTCACATGTTCTTTGAAACTTTGAAGTTACTTTGCATAAAATACATGTCAGTTTTTAACAAAATATATATTTACAAACAATTAAAGGATAAGTTCACCTTTCGTGACAAGATGTGTGATGAATGGAAAGTAGGAGCCTTGCTGTTGAGGCATCAACAGCAAGGCTCCTACTTTCCATTCATCACACATCTGCATCAGAGGCTGGTCATCAGCTCTGAGGAAAGGGATTCGTCCCCAAAACGCGTCAGCCATTTGACCGCACTGACAGTGAGAACACCTTGCCTGCCGTTGTGGCCATTGTCATTTTTCTATGCTTTTTAGATACATGCTTCGTCTGTGAGTATATTTTTATTATTCTTTCACTCCTTACAATAAACCTTGGATAATGCACTAGGTGTGTGCGCCACCTGTTTTCTCTCTATCCAGTGGCTGATTTCCCCGTCTGAGGAGGGCTGCACCCCTGAAGCATTTCCTTTGGTTGTCGCTGTCCTGGTACCCTTGGCTTCCCTTTTGGCTGTGCATATCCTGAGGCGCTGGAGAGTACATACGATATCAAGTTACATGTTACACCCATATTCATGATGGAACATGTCACATGTTACGATCAGACCGCCACCCCCCCCCCCCCCCCCCCCCCCCGATTCCCTTTGTGGCAGCTAGCTCCGCCAGTCTGGCCGCTTCACTCATTCACAGTATTCTGTGAATGGGAAAACTACAAGTCCCATCAGCCTTGTAGGTGTCAGCTTGTAGTTTTCAATGAACTACCATGGCACTCCACAGCGCCATGGTAGTTCATTCAGCCTACCTGTCAGTAAGTACTTGCTTGCCCGTACGGGATGTACGAGCAAGCAGATATACTGAGAGGTCAGGGGGAGGCCTGCATGGCACCAGTGATCTGCTGATCGCTGGTGCAATGCATCAGAGGCTCCAGAAACAAAAAATAATAAATGCACATTTTTTTGTTAAAATGTGAACTTATCCTTTAATCTAGAAGTGTACATTCTTGCAAATAATGTTTAATGTGATGCTAAGTCAAGTAAAATACAAAATAAAAATGGAAAACAAATGGAAAATAAAAACAGGTTTGAAAGTGCAAAAGATAGCAATTGTTTAACCTACAAAACCAGGAGAAAACAATGAGCATCTGTATTGGCTATAGAAACCAATTCTAATTCAAACTGTTTCTTTCCCTGTACAGATCTCTAAATAAAGCAAGATTCTGGTTAGCTTTTTTTTGACCACAGTATCCCCTCTTCTCAACTAAGTAGCAATGTACATTCTGAAATGTGGTTCTTAAAGTTATTGATCTTTACAGAGAAACTTACAAGGAAATGTTTTAAAGGATAACAACATTCGGAGTCAATTGGTCAATTTCTGGGTGGATCGTGGCAGGCATCAATCCTCTGCTATGTTTTCAGTACATGATGAGAAGTAGAACCATTCCATATCAGCATAGTGATATCCTGCTGGGCTTTTCAGCCAAACTACTCTTGTCATCAGAGAGTGAGTTTTACACATATTCCTATGTAAAAAGCATTGATGGTCAACTTATGAGGTTTAGGGGGTCTCAGCTGTGGTCCCTGACATCACCAAGGGACTACACAAGATAATCAGTATTTGTAATTCTACACTGGACATCATTCAGGGATGGTCAGAGACTGGATGTGATAGTCTCCTGGGGACAAGCTGTAAAAGAGAGAGATCACTGCTATTACAGCCCCTTTACTAACCAGTGATCTGACTTCTACTACTGTAGGGATCCAGAAGTCACACAACATATACCAAAGGAATGCATACAGCCTTTAGGGCACTGAAAGGTGCAGATCATGGTTAATCCTAATATCTGCACTCTAATGGATTCTCCAAATTAGATTTTGAAGAACTTGCAGCCTGATGAAAAATGAAGCTTGACTGAAAGGCTCTACTCTGTGTGCCTCAGCCATGCTGGATGTCAGGAGAGGATTGCCCCTGCCAAGGACCCTGACAGCAGTGAAAACTTGGCAGGTGACCAAATCCAGCCCCAGGACACTTAAAAACAAGACTGCTTTAATGCCTGCATGACACTTTTTATCGATTAGGTAGTCAGAATAAAGATAGATAAGGCCTTGGAGTCATATGAACAAGCTGGACCTTAAAGACAGCCCTGTAGATGCTACAGCAAAACCATATAAACAGTACACCGTACCTTCATCATCCCAGCAACTTTGTTTCACACTTTCGCTGCCTTCTGCTAATACTGTTTGGTCGGTTGGCAAGTCATCTTCTGGCACGCTGCCCTCGCCATCTGCCGCATCCGTAACACTCTCCTCTTCTACGATGTGCAATTTGTCTTCATCATCAGAATCAGAATTTGCATCTAACACATTGTTGTAACTGGTAACTGTGAAAGAGAAAAAGGAAACGTTACTTAGTGTACGGGACTCAGGACAAGCATGTGCTAATAGCATTTAAGGTAGCAAGCATTTACTATGAGCTCATGTTGCAAATTAGGAAGCATCGTCAATTAGCTATTCTCTCCAGACCACATGGGGACTACTAAGCTTCTAATTAGAATATATAAATAAAAACATCACAAGCAGATAAAGTCAGCAGAGACATCATTCCACGGTGCTAACTTTTCCCTGAATATTTATTATGCAGGAAGGTGAAAGATATGAGCAAAATTAAACATTTACCTCCTCCTTATCTCTGCTTACACCTTTGTGGACAGAAAATGACTGCAAACTGTAATGTATTAGGAATGTTTTAATTCCTGTTGATGCTGTTTTCCATAATGAATAATTCAACAGGGATAGTTAAAGTGATTCTAAACCTATTTTTTTCTTTAAAATAATACACGTCATATTTACCTGCTCTGTGCAATGGTTTTGCACAGAGTAGCCTCAATCTCCTTCTTCTCGGGTCGCCCGCCGCTGCTCCTACCCCAAGCAGCTTGTTATGGGGGCTCTCATGCATGCTTGCTCTCGAGCTCCCCCCCCCCCCCTCGCCTTGGATTGACAGCAGCTGTCTCTGCGTCAGTGAGGAGGGAGAGAGCAGAAAGAGCTTCTGCTCTCTTGCACAGCGCTGGATGGAGATGAGGCTCAGGTTAGTATAAGGGAGAGCTGGGAGGGAGCTGCATTCAGATGGTTTCTTACCTTATTGCAAAGAATGCATTAGGGTAAAAACCTTCTTCCTTTAGAGCCACTTTAAGCACTTTCTGACAGCGCTATAGATGATAGATGGCTACCGCGTAGTTGGCTAGTTCTGGGAGGACGTTTGGACACAGCTGATCACAGATCGCGGTGAAGAACCAATCACAGCGGTCCGTTAGCATATGATCAGCTGTGTCCAATCACATTGTAAACAGACTTGCCGGTTATCACTGTCACAGTGTGAGGAAAGGAGAGCCAGTAACCAGCAATTCTGACAGGGGACATTTACACTAACAATCACGGCACTGATCATCAGTGCAGCCCCATCAGTGCCTCCTCATAAGTGCCGCCGATCAGTGCCGCCAATCAGTGCAGCCTATCCATGCTCATCAGTGAAGCCTCATCAGCACAACTCAGTGAGAAGAAAAATTACTTATTTGCTAAATTTTATAACAAACTAAGAAAATGTGTTTTTTTTTTTCAAAAAATTCGGTTTTGTTTGTTTGTTTAGCAAAAAATAAAAAACCCAGTGGTGATTAAATACCACCAAAAGAAAGCTCTATCTGACTCAAAACAATAACAATTTCATTTGGATATAGTTTTGCATGACCATTGGCCTGGGCAGGAAGGGGGTGAAAGTGCCTGGTAGAAAAGTGGTTAAAGCTGAACTCCGGGCACAATAAAATTAGTTATCTTCCTCTATATCCACAAAGGATATAAACCAACTTTGTGTGCACCAAATTCCTTTTCAAACCCAGAGATTACCTAGTAAAAAAAAGCAGTAACATCAGAAAAAAAGTAAGCTATTGGAGGGACACAGGAGGCACCACCCACTACCCTACCACTACCATGGCGGTACTCTCATGTGATGGGGCACTCTCTCATAGGAGTGATGTGAGTTTGCAAACTTTTAAAGGGTTTTGTAACTGAAAAGAAGTTGAAAAACTGATGAAAATATTTTGTTTAAATGCATAGCTAATATATATTAGATAAATCAATGGAAATGCCTGAAAAATGCCTCTGAGAAGCGGTTTTAGTGCAGTTTTAAGTCACATGCCCTTTAAAACACGTGGCAAAAACTACTATGCGTTTTTGAGGCAGATAAGTGTGAAAGTAGCCTAATATAAAAATAGATGATAATAACAATTAAAATATAAATAATAATAGATAATAATGCATATTGTTTATTAAGTCCAGGTTTCAATTTTAATGGTGTAAACATACGCAAGATTTAACCAACTCCAGATGTAACTGAGAACTGAATGCTAAACTCTGATGAGCACTGTTAAAATTGACTGCATAACCAAACCTCAAAGTAATTTCAGAAAAAAGAAAAAAAAAATTTTAGTGAGTGGACCTAAAAGTAACACAAACACACAGGAGGTGCACACTATCATAAACGCCTATGGCACAAAACACATTCCTGAGCACACCAGAGGAAGATGAATAATTTTTGGACCACCTATTAAGTTAAACTCTCAAATATTCAGCTACGTGCCATATTTTTCATGTATATTAATTTTTTACAGTCTCATATTTTATAGTTAATAGAAAAAAATTATTTAGAAAAAAAGCATTTTTTCCCCCTGAAAATTTAGATTTCATATCATTTATGTAAGGTTTTCATTTATTTGTGATTTAGCCTTTCTTCTCTTCATTGCATGGACCACTCGGCTACTTCATTATATCAAAATATTTCTAGGGAGAACAATACACTTGTTACTCCATTGTCTAGCTCTTGGGTGTTACAAGTAGTACTAAATGATAGGCGCTTTTTTTTAATCTTAATGCATTCTCTGGGAACCTTAAATAAAAAATCCATTGCAGTGGGAATCAGCTTGCACTGCAAGGGTTGGCTGCTTATTTGGTCTAGGGGAGAGTAGAAGAACATTTACTTACCTAACCCTCTGCTTCCCTGGCAGATGGTGCTCCCTTCATCCTCCAGCTGTGGACTGTTCCTCAGCAACATCATGGCCAACACAGGGCAATGGATCCTGCATTGGTCTTGATAATGTAAGGACCTTAGGGTTCTGGAGCATGCAGGAGAAGATGCTGCATGGACATGTTTAGTAGTGCAGAGGAGCGGAGGATCAGGTAAGAAGATCTTCTTTTATATGTCCCCTAGACCTAAATGAGCAATTTAACCTTGTAGTGGCCCTGATGACAAAACGCATAGGGCGTTGTTCAGTTGAGACTTCGCTGCACATGCGTGCAACTGATACATGGAATTCTGGGATTTGTTGTTTTGTTTTAGAGCTGTACACCGCTTTTTTATGCGAGTGTTTTTTAACCGATGTAATCCATTTTTATTACTGGATTTCACACTATTTGGAGAGTGGGGGCTCTTTTTATGTTGGATGGGAGTTGGACAGGAAAGTGGTGGATTACCCTGCAGTGTTGCTCCGGGATCCCTGTTTCACTTACCTTGCCCTTCGCTCCCGCGATGTCCCCCCTGCAGCGTCTCCGGCCATCTCCTCTGTCCTATGCTGGCATCCGTCTTCCTGGTTCCAGTCCCTGCGAGCGTCAGGACGTACGGGGGCCAGAACCAGCGGGAAATTTAAAAATTTTAAAAAAAAGTAACATTCACTAAATACACTAAAATCTCATAGTAAAACATTACTGTATCAAACCATGTTCCCGGCCGCTCAGCGTCGCGCGCATGCGCAGATCGCCGATCTTCCTGCCGGCGAATACAGAGATCGCGGCGGCGGCGTCCGCGCATGCGCCAGTAGCGAGATGCGGCCGCACCAATGGAAATCAGGGCGCCCTATTTAAAATCTCCCTGTGCATTTCCTGCCAGGTCTTGATTTCCTGTTCCTGCTAGTACGTTTCCTTGTTGCCAAAACTCTGCCTTTTCTGATTTACGCTGGCTCTGACCCCGGACTCGTTCCTGACCATCCCTCTGACTGACTCTCTGTACCACGCTGCAGTGTACCTGCTGAACCTGGCTTGTGACCCCGACCATCCTCCGCTTGCTCCCTCTGTACCCACGCTGCCCGCACGATACCGACCCGGCTAGTCTGACCTCGCTCACACTCCTAGCAGTCGTCCATCCATCCCGCTCGGATCGGGATCTGTCATCCCATCCATCCCGCTCGGGATCAGGGTCTGTCATCCCCTTCACAGCAGACTAAATCCCAGGCACATAAGCGGGAACCCTTCACTGCCCAGGGACGCGACCTGGTTCCAGTCTGCACCAAGTCCATCCCCACCATAGTGAAAACACTTAGACTCCGCGTCCTGGGAAACCCCGTGCCGTACTAGAGATCCCGCTGGGCGGAGCCTGACAAAACCATTTCACATACATTTTGTCCCGAGTGCTTTGTCCTGTGCCCTGTCTGCATTTTTACTGTTCTTTCTGCCTGGAAACTGAGAAAAGTCCATGGCGTCCAAAAAGCGTCCCTTTAGGTCAAAAGCGGTTTTAGACCGGCTAGAGAACAGCGATAGTAAATCAGAACCACTTGCAGAATTGAGTGATAATGATTCGTGGGGAAATTCGTCATCAGACACTGAAAACGATTTTGCAACTGAGCTCAGTGATGGGTGAACTTGGCGCTTTATTTCAAATTTCAGTGTTTTTGGTTTGATTATATTATTGAATTAAATGTATTATTATTATATTATATATTTTTTATGATTATTTATTATAATTTATGATTTCGTGTTTCAAATTTTTTTATAATACCCGGAACGTTTACTAGACTCTTGTTCGGACAGATTTCAGTATGTTATTCCAAAAAATCACAGGCCTACAATAAAAAAAACGACATATTTCCATGCAAAAAAATGTACCGCTTTGAGCACAGAAATACTGACATAATCAGACCTCTAGGGAGGTTAAAGATTAAGGATTATATATGCCAGTTATATGGACTTTTAATTTCAAACAGCACTTTTACACTGAACTTTGGCTACATTATACTAATTGTATTGATGTTACTAATTTATGATCACAGTTTGTATTACTGAACATTTTTTGTGTTCCTCTTATATTGTGATTAATTTTTCAGCGCACTCATAATTTTTTTGGGTTCTTTGAGGTTGTGGGCATTAGCGCAGCATTTTTTTTGTTTTTATGTTTCTTGTTTTTACATGCTCAGTTTCTAAATTTTAGTAACAATATAGATACGCAGGAACATAACAAATTCCTCCTAATCAACATTATTGAGATTCAAGTAACTCACAAAGCAATCATCATTTACGCATTTCATCTTAATCGGCCTTAGCTATAGCTATGACTAAAGCTGTCTAACCTAAATTCTGTAAGTGGTGATTGCTTTGTGAGCTACTTGGATCTTCAATAATTGTTTACAGGT